TATATGTATATATATATATGTATATGTGTATGTGTGTGTATATATATATATATATATATGTGTATGTGTGTGTATATATATATATATATATATATATATATATATATATATATATATATATATATATATATGTATGTATGTATGTATGTGTGTGTGAATGTGTGTGTGTATGTATATATGTAGGTGTAATTATTTGTAGGTTATAGGCGCGGTACTTATTAGAAAGCGCTCAGTTTCAGAGATAGAGCTAACATGTTGAACCAGATGTATGTATATGTGTATATGTATATATATGTATGTGTGTATGTGTATATTTGTGTGGATATGTGGTTATATTTATATGTGTGTACATGGGTATATGTATGTGTGTATACGCCTATGCGTATGTATATACATGTATATGTTATTGTGTATGTGTGTATTCGCATGTGTTTTTGAACATAAAAATATAGGTCCTTGCTAGATTAAATAATCGTTATATTTATTTTTTATATGTTTATATTTGATTTGTAACCTGTAGTCGATATTAAATTTGTCAAATTTTCTCAATTACACAGCGGCCCTTTCAGTAAATGGCCTTCAATTTTACTTTCCTTCACCCCATCTCTCTCCCCCACATTTGCTTTCCCTCCCTCTTATTCTGATCTTCAACATTAGATCGTCTATGGTGTGTGTATGTCACCATGAAATGTATCTTTATGCATTAGACATCTGACAACATTCATATTTCTCTTACTTAAACCCCTTCCACTCACCTCTCCTAAAATTCTCTCTGTTAAGGTTTAATCTCCTTCCTTCTCTAAGTCTGTTACCCCTCTCTTTAGCTCTAACATTCATCCCACACCCTCATACTTACACTCTCTCTAAATTCTGTTTTTATTTCCAGAGTTGTTTTTTGTTTTCTTTTTGAATTTGTAGGTCTGATGAATTGGATTATATTTACAATTCCAATGGAATAAATTATGACCATGGAATATTAGTGTTTAAGGCTTTTTATTATATCCTTACTCTGTCCTAGACATTGAGTTCTACCTGGATTCTATCCTCTTGGAATTTTTATTCAAAAAATATACATGTATGGGTATGCACCTATGTATATATATATATTTATATATTTTGCATATGTATGTGTATATTTACCACTAATATTATCTATATATATATATATATATATATAGTGGACTCTCCAGTTGTATTTGATGCATGAGGGTCAAGCAGCTCAGTATGGTGATTATAGTGGTGAAGGCTTTGTGCAGAACCAACCCCACTTTTTGAAGGCTCGAATATAGAGACCTGGTACATTACATGCCACAAAGCCCCCAAATGAACCTCTGCAGGTTTTGAATTCAGAGTTGTTCTTCTCCTAGACCAGTTGCCATCCAAGGCTATAGAACCCAGCCTGTCCTGGAGAAAGAAGAAGAGGATTAATACCTTTCCTAAGGGTATTAGCACATAAGTGAATGTAATGGATTTGACCGATTCGAACTTGTTTCTCCAATTCCTCAATCCGAGCTGCTATCCATCCATATATATATATATATATATATATATATATATATATATATATATATATATATATATATATATATATATATATATATATATATATATATATAAACTTGCAAACTTTTCTTGGAGGAAAAATAGCTCTCATTACCTTCCCAGTTCAAAATAAATTATTAAATAAAAGATCCTTTACTTAAAAATTAAAAACTGAAAAGAGAAAATATACTGTATAACAAATAAATAATAACAAGTAAAATAAATTGATCTAAATTCATCCAAATAAATAAATAAACTAACAAACTGATCCCGATAAACTGTTATAAAAAACAAATAAAGATAATCAATTCAAATAAATACATGAAGTAATAAACAAATTTTTCTTTTTTTTCTTGTCTAGTTTTCTTTTAGATGATCTTGTTTGCTAATGATACAAAAGCTTCTGATGCCTCATTTTGAATTTCCATTTTCATTTAGTTTGTTGTATTTGCTTTTATACTCTTTTAAATTCACATCATTCAGGTGTCTGTTGTATTTCAATTTGGGTGCTACCTTAAACCTCTTCAATTTCCATAGTTTCACTCTAAGGTTATATATCACTTGAAGGTAGTCACTCCTGCAGTTGGAACTTGGGTATATTTTGTAGTATAATACTACATTCCTGAATCTCTTATTGATTGTTATGTAGCTGATTTGGTTCTTGGTTTTTCCTCCTGGAATTCTACATTTACATATACATCTTGGGTGTTCTTGAAACCAGCCTCTGAAAATACCTGATCGTTTGCTGTGCACCATTGGACCCATTTTTCCCTGCATTCATTACAAGTTCCTAGTTTGAATTTGGCAATTGTTTCACCATCTCCCTTCTTCCTTACTTTAGCATTCAGATCTCCCATGATGATTGTAATTCTCTGTGAGTTATATTGAACCTTGGTATTGACTAGCATACAGTAAAACTTTTCAATTTCTTCTATCCTACTTTGTGCTGTCTGTGCATATACAACAGCAATTGATATGTTTAAAAGCTTCCCTTTTAACTAAAATAATTTTAGTTTAACTAAAATAATTCTACAGATAATTGATAGTATTTTAGAACACATTTCATCATTACTTTATCTAATGTAAGTCCTACTCCTCTCTCATTTTCCCCTCTCCTGCCTGCATATATGACCCTAAATGTTGCAATAAATTAGTCTGGTGCATGGATATAATAATGTTTTTTATGCTATTGATCACCCAATACAAAGCCCAAGAGCCACTTAAGGTAGATGGTTACTGAATGAGGTTGTTGTAAGTCCATACAAGGAGGGAGTAAATGGTGCATATTACGAGCATATGTAGGATAGATAATGCTTGACCCTAAACTTGAAGAAGTTAAGATTGCAGTGACTATGTGTTTGTCCCACAATATAACAGTTCTGGGGAAGAAGCTGAGTGGAACTTCTTCCTTAGCAATGGTATATGAAGGGAAGGAGGATGGTGGTTTCTAGCTGTGAAGTTCTGGACTGATGGTATGTAGCTTGTCTGAACATATGTCATAATTATTATGTGGCACTCAGTGAAAATACAAATCAATACAGTTCTAATGGTTTGCAAGACTCAATAGTTAACCACCATGCCATGGTGAGATAATCAGAAGTTGTTGACTATTTAAATCTAAAGCGGATAAAAAAATATACTCTTTTCATAACAAAGAGTCAAATTTATAGAAAAGAACATAAAATATCAAATTTTGCTATAGAGAGGTAAACAAGTGAAATTCTGCTCCAACACATTTCTAGATATCAGTCTAACGCTAGTAGATTGCTACCAATTGTGTGGACTAAATCTCAGCTTTATTGAATTTAACTTAATGAACTTTGATATAAATCTTTTCTTTCTGTTATTGTTGATTTTGTTTCTCTAAGTAACTTTTAACACATCACCATCCCTCATTGTCTTTGTTCTGCTATCTATTTGTTGGGATTATCTACACTTTGTCTGCCATGATGCCTGCTAGGTGGCACTGTTCAGCTCTATAAAAAGAAGAGGCAACAAACCCTCTTCCTCTCTCTGTGACTCTGGAACATAGTACTGAAAACAACAGAGCTTCTCTCCACCAGATGGAGATGTTTTCTTAATTTCAGCCAGACACACATTTTTCTAAATGCAAAGCCTAGAAATATTTTCCTTTCTTTTTCAGCTATCTGTGACCACAACATGTATATTCTCTCTTCTTGAATTATGTTATTATCTTTATATAAAAATATATACATATAAAAATTCTTCCACATGTTGAATTCATTTTATCCTGAATATCTTAATTCTAATCAACAACAACTTATAACTTCTCCCACTGAATCCTGGGTATGACGATAAACTACATCCGTGTCCTGGGTAAGACAATAAACTACATCCAACTGCAAAGCCTTTGATCAGGAGGTTTTGACGAGTGTGGAACCATCTCTTAATTGTTGTTGTTTCCAGGCTTACCTTGACCCGGGGGTGGTAGCACCTGTTAGGGTCCCACATATGGACAAATAGTTGACCCCCAAACTGGGATCAAAATGCCATGAAAGTGTAAAAATAAGTTTTAATACCAGTAATACATTTTTGAAGAAAAAAATTATTACCAGCAATACATTTGAAAAAAAAAAAAAATATTGCCAGCAATAAAAATCTTATCATTAAATAACCCCTTGAGGTTGATATGCCATAAAACAAACCAAACCAAACTTCTCCCACTATACACTGGTAACCAACAGTAACATCATCCAATGCAAACTGCTACAACATTCACACAGACCTATTAGATATTTTACTTGCTACTTTCACATACTTCCCTTTCATTCAATATGTCCTGTGAGTGTTAGATTCTCCAAGACCTCTTTCCTCATTATGTATCCCAAACATTTCAGCTGTTTCTCTCTGATTGTAAGTATAAATTTCTTTGTAGTCCTGATATTTTTCTGCCTATAGAATCTTAAGCATTCCTCAGTTGGATTACGTCTATTGCTTCAAGTCTCTTATTCATCTGTGAAGAAATAATCCAGCATTCACTGCTATAAAGCAAATTAGCATTTCAGGAACTCTTTTGTTTGTGTCTAAAGAAATATAAACTTATAAAAATGTTTTTGAGATTAATGATGTTTACTTTGTTACAAGACAAAGGTGAAACAGAAAAATGTCAGTTGGAAGATTGTATTGCGCCAGGAGAGAGACTCCATGGCTTGAAAATTTCTAATCAATGTCCTGATTTTTTATATGGGCTTAAATATTCATCTCTGGTATGCCTATGAAATATACAACTATCTCAACCACAAGGTATGGTAGCAATTATAATTGCCTTAATGTTACGTTCAAAATATATACAGAAAACTATTACAGTTAGTGTCTCAATGAATGTAACAGAGACTTATGAATGATTTTTTGTCAGGGGTTCTAGACACCTACTGTAGAGTAATGGTTAAAATCTCAACTTGCAGATTATTTGCTAGTGTAGTGAGTTCAGTTGTCATTTAATTATGCACTATTGTGGCACTATACCAGGCTAATCTTAAGAAATAGCTAAGATAGACAGATAGATATGTCAATGACAGACAGACAGAAAGATAGATATGCCAATGACAGACAGAGAGATAGATAGATAGACAGATAGATAGATATGTCAGTGATAGGCAGATAGATATGAACTGTCTGTAATAGATAGATAGATAGATAGATAGATAGATAGATAGATAGATAGATATGTCAGTGACAAATAGATAGATATGAACAGTTTGTAACAGAGATAGATATGTCAGTGATAGATAGATAGATATGATCAGTCTGTGATAGATAGATATGTCAGTGACAAATAGATAGATATGAACAGTTTGCAACAGATAAATAGATAGAATGTAACAGATCAATAGATAAAAAGAGTATTGATATAAAATCAACATCATAACTGCCAGTCACCATGCATTGTTAATTTCTATTTTCCCAGTGTTTATTGATGATCTACCCCAATACACTAGCACTCTTCCCCAATAAATATGGTAAATTTTAAACTATTATATTGTAGGGATATTATTGTTGTTATAAATAAATAAAATAATAATAATGATGAAAATTATAAATAAAATAAAATAAAATAAAACAATAATATTTACACTTTGTTTAAAATAAATTAAAAAAAATAAAAATAAGAAAATTACTCCCAGCATGCAACAAAAACTGTTCCTGCCAGAAATACGGACTTCCTGCCAAAAGATGTGAGATTCAATCTCTTCACCCAAGAACTGCTGGGTTGGCCATGTGTGATAGGACTTGTGATATTAGGGAGTAACTTATTCCCTTTTATAACATGAACATTATCACAATTGTCATGTAAAACACACATGCACCAATACTCACAAATACATAAATAAAATTGTATGAAATTATCATACAATTTCTCATGTCTTCTCTGTATTGTGTACATTTATTTTCCCTGATTTTATCTTCGTAAAAAACGTAAAATTATACTTCCACTACTCCTATGGTATGAATGAATACCACACAATATATATATATATATATATATATATATATATATATATATATATATATATATATATGTATGTATGTATAAGATGGGTAACCATACATCATATATGGGTGATCATATATATATATATATATATATATATATATATATATATATACATATAGGTAATCATATATATTCTTTTTTTCTTTTCTTTAACTACTTTATTCCAAGCAAGCCACTAAGACCCAAGGGTTTACTGAGTGTAAGAGAATATGAGAAAAAGAAAAGGAGAGAGAACAATAAAAGAACAGGAATTAAGAAGACAAATGATAACAATTGGCATTGCATTTCAATTTTTGAAGATCAAATTGACTGGAAAGCAAAATGCCACAAGAGAGTTTCACAAGTGATAAGAGTGAGAGAAAAAACTGTTAGCATAGAAATTATTATTATATCCAGCAATTTAAACTATAAAATCATCAAACCTAGCAGCCAATCTAATATTGTGCTTAAATTTGTAAATTCTATGTTCCAAAGAGGAAAGCTCATCAGAACAAATACCATGAAAATATTTATAGAAAAGGCAGAAGGAGGCTATATTATGGCAAGGGGAGAGTGACTTCATGCCAGTGGAAAAGGTTAGCCTGAGAAGGTGCAATGAGTCACTGTCTTGGAGGTTAGCATTAACCATGCTAATGGAAGGCAAAAAAAGGTTCTCTAAGACAATTAGAGAGTAGTTTCCTTTTAGAGACGTTAAAATTAACCAATCATTTCTTGCCCCAGTTAACAATATTGTAGGTCATATTTGAGTTCAGCTGTCAATTTGACCTTATCAAACCAATTAGATTTAGAATTAAGATAGGAGTAAATAGTTGTGTCATCAGGATAGATACTGAGTTGAGAACTGATGACATTGGAAAGGTGGTTAATGAAAATTAGTAACAAGGTAGGTCCATGAAAAAATTCCTGAGGCACACCTGCATCAATGTAAAATGATCTAGAAGATCATGGCAGGTCTCAATGATTACTCAGAGGACAAGTATGTACCTCAGTGTGGTGAATTGTGAATCACCTCGAAACTTCTAGGCGGATTCATTTCCTGTTGATATCTCTAAGTTCTTTAGTGATAAGCAACAGAGATAAGCTAAGCAATAGAAAAATACTTTGATGAGCAGGAAGCCTTTAGCTTGTACCAAAGTAATGGCAGTGGAAAGTGTGATGGTTTCTTCTCCATGTCCTGGTCTCAACATAGGAACTTGACAACTGCTTTCCATATCTAAGAAGTCCTGTTTCAGATCATTACTAATATCTTAAATAAATCAAACTTACTAAGCAATTCAAACGGTCCTTTATCAAATGCTTTTGTATAATCTATAAAACATCCTTCTTCATTTTTATTGCTCTTTCTGTTATTGTTCATAAATGATATAATGGAATATGCATACACCTGTGTTCCCACTCACTGGAATATGATTGGCTGGTGTCCAGACAGATGTGTAGGTATGACAGAGTTTAAGTCTATGATGACGCCCATTGGACTACGCCATCGGCTATCCTATTGATCTACACCTATTACCTGGGACTACGACGAGTACCAGTTGATTACTGCTACCGTGTACTACTTGGTTATAGTAGCCAAAACCACTTAGCTATTTCTGGGACATATCAATAAATATGACATTACTGGTTTTGACGTCTTTAAAAAAATCGCACTGTTTTTGTTCAATTTGCATCTAATTCTGTCATGTGCTCTATTCGTCAGAATTCAGATGTAAATTTAGTTATGTGGCTCATTGAGCTGATTGTCCAATGGAGCTTGCATTCATTTGCACCTTGCTTATTAGGCAGTTCTATAAAGAGGAATATATTAAGGTCAGAATCACAAACAAAGAACAGAAGCAACAACTAAAATGGATATCACATGTAAGTTAAAGAGAAAATAATGATATAATCAAAGTGTTGATGTTCTACAATACTTCAAACAAAAGGTTAGGAAGGAAACCCCTGATCAATGCTGGAAAGAGAAATAAAAGTGGATTTTAGAAGCCTATTTTCCTGAAAAATTATTTTAAGAGAAAGATTTTATAAATTTTAACTGAAAGTAACACTGGCTGCTCAGTCAATGAATGCTGAAGATTTTGTTATAAGGAAATGGCAAATATTACCATTATCATTAAAATAAACAAGCCTAATCTGCTTAAATTCTTTCTTCTTTTCTTCTCTCTTCATTATTAGAATCAAATAAACAAAAGTATATTTTTTGATAAAATAGTTATTTTATAAACATGCATACTCAAGGAAAGTAGTGAAGGAAAGCAAGAAGAAAGGACTAAACATCAACTGTAAGAAGACAGAATGCATGGTTGCTATCAAACGGGACAACCCAAAATGCAAATTACAAATTGGAGATACCAAAATTAAGCAAGTACAACAATTTAAATATCTGGTAAGTATTTACACAGAGGACAGCAAGTGTGAAGAATTGTAACAAATGAAATAAATGTTACATAGAAATCTGAATGCTTATTGAAATAGTAAAAGCTGCCTTCCAAAAGCTAAGCAAAGCATTAAGAAACATGAAGATTTCATTAAAAACAAAAAAAACTGAACTGTTATGTAATACCAGTCCTCCTCTATGGAAGTGAATGCTGGACAATCTCTTCACAGATGAAGCAACAGAAACGAAAGATGCTAGGAATACCATGGACAAACATGTTAGCAATGACAAAGTCCTAGAGACAATGGATGGCAATACTTATACTTAACATCAAGAAGAGATAGTTGAAATTTCTAGGGTACATAATGAGGAAAGATGGCTTGGAAAATTTGATACTCACAGGATAGATTGAAGGCAAGAGAGGCAGGAAAACAATGCATAACTTACCTGGGAAGCAGTGAATGAATAGCAGAGCAAGGTTTGGGACAGATAGCAAAAAGACAAAATTTATTAAGAGCTACAAAGGAGAGGAAATTATGGTGAGTCATTCTTCCCAATGTTCTGAAGGGTCACAGCATATAGAAGATACTCATGTGACAGCTGCCAGTATCGAATGTAAAATAATCTTTTTGAATGATGTTAATTAAAACTAAACACACTTAACAGCAAACATAAAATTAACTTTTTGAGTAATCTCTTACAAGGAAGTTAGTTTTAAAGGATACTCACAAAGATTTCTATGTGATGCTGCCTTCTTCTTGTAAAAAGCTCGTACAACTTTGGCACTTCCGAATCTCTTAAACCTTTTGCTGACACTTGTGTAGAACCATTCTAAAGACATGGATTTCAGATCACTGAAAATGGAAAAGATTAGTATAAAAACTGACATAAGTGAAATCAGATGAAACATTTTAGTCAATCTAATAAGGTCCATGGATTATTGGTAATAAAATATAATCTTTGTTGTCATATAACTTGTGATGTCATGAGCAGCATTTATTAAACAAATACAATGAAACCTTGGTTCACAAATTTAATTCGTTCCTCAACCCGAAATGTTTGTAAACTGAAACTATTTGTCCAGTAGAAATCAATGTAGAGAAAAAAGTCAAAGTACAATAAAATTAGAAAAGAAATATACAGTACAACACATGAATGTATATAACACGGCAGTTGACTCAGAAATGATTCCATTCGGCTTAACTTGGTTTCGGCTTGGTATGGAAATGTTGTACAAGAACTGAAATTTTGTTTGATACCAAGGCAATTTCATCTTGAATTTTCTGTTCAAAAACCAATTTGTTCAAAATGTGAGCTATTCGAGAACTGAAGTTGCTCAGTGATTTAAATCATCTAATGCTTACATATCTGCTAATATAAATTCTGGTTGTAGGGACTGAAAATGAAATATTAATCATGGCTGAATTTTAGTGATGAGGGCATTTGAATTTACAATATATAGGCAAGTGTTTGGTTTTACCTGTTTTTGCCCACTGACTTTGCTGCTACTTCACTATCTCATCAATTTAGATTTAATAATTTTTCTGCATGAATTAACTAGGTGTTTTGGTAGTAAGAGAAATTATTTTACGTATTAGTGAAAGACTAGGGTTATTAAATGTATTGTAGGGATACAAAGGACAATTATCTCCCTTTGGTTGAGATGAAGTCATGACGGCCATGTGATGGATGGTGAGTGATATTTGTTCAGAGGGAGAGTCCATGCCAGTTGCTATGTAGGCTGCAGTGGAGATGGGTGTAACAAGTCCACAGGACTAGGGTGTGCACAGAAAACCACATAGTCTCAACAAAAACATAAAGGATACCATAGACCTGTTCTTTTTCAATTTGGGAAATATTACAAGTAAGACCTCCTCTCTTTTCACCCCTTTCATGCTGCTTGTTGCATATATATATGTTATAGTTTCTCTGTGTGGGACAAATTAGTGACAAGTGTGTGTATGTCGGTATAAAATATCTCTTTGAAAATTGTTGTGGATCCCGTGTGAAAAATAGGTATCCAATAAATGACAAACGCAAGTATTTAAGCTAAGAAATTAAATGTATTTACACAAAATACAAAAGGTAATGCTGTTAGTAAAATCCAGGAACATGGTTAGTGGCAAATACACATAGATATATATAGTCTCGAAGTAGGACTTCCTTAAAGTCTGCGTGCTTGTAACTGATGTCTACAAGAGGTTACTTCACTCCATCCGACACCCTACGACTCATGTACGACTCATGTACGACTCATGTACGACTCATGTACGACTCCTCTTCTCTGCCTGACTGTGGCTATTTTATGGCAGCAGGATGAGTCCATTATATCCAAAAAGGGTGGACCCCATAACAAAAATGATGCATGTTCGTCATTCATTTCTTTCAGCTATTCTGTCCTGTCTGTTTATCAATGTGCTATTATATCATAGATATAATAATGCCTATAATGGGAAAATGCAAACTGGGAACATTGCTTTCTTGCAGTACAATGTAAATTTATTGCTAATGATTTTAATCTATAAACACATTGAAAATCAGAATAAAAGTATTGTCAATGGTCAGGAAATAATGCCAACATTCAGTCAATTATATGAGATACATGATACATGCTTAGGTGATCATGTATCTTCTGATACATGACTTCGATTTTTTCCTGCATTAGGTTGCCATTTCTTTCTGTGGTAGACCAGTTGCCATCCAAGGATGTAGAACCCGGTCCTCCTGCTATTTGCTCATAACTGGGGGGGAGAAGAAGAGGATGTATACCTTTTCCAAGGGTATTAGCATGTAAGTGAATGTAATGAATTCGACTGGAATTCGAACTTGTTTCTCCGATTCCTCAATCCGAGCTGCTATCCATTACTCCACCATGCCTTCTCTTGTTCAGTACCTAATACCAAAGGGGGGTGGGTAATAATTGCAGGGAGGGATGTGTTAATAAATTTATATTCAGGTTCATCCAGAATTTCATCTTTAACAAAACCAGTGCTATTACAATGTGGAATATATAACAACAACAATGGTAAAAACCTAAAGTAATAAGAAGCTAAATGAGATTTGCTATGCTGTACATCTAGACACATCTGACATCAGAAATTTAAAATTTAGATTTAAACTTAAGCATCTCTTCATCTTCAGCATTTCTCTCAATATTTAATTATAACCGACATTTGTTTCTATTTTCCTTCCTTACCCATTCTGCATTCTGGGTATGATGATAAGCTATATGTGTGTCCAGGGTAAGATGATAAACTATGTCCAACAGCAAGGCCTCTGATCAGGAGGTTTTGAGGAGTGTGGAAGCACCTCTTAATTGCTGGTGTTCCCAGGTCCACCTTGACCTGGGGTAGTACCAACTGTTAGAGTCTCAGCTATGGGCAAATAGTTAACTCCCAAACTGGGGTCAAAGCACTGTGAAAGTGTAAAAATAGGTTTTAATACCAGCAATGCTTTTTTGGAAAAATTATTACCAGCAGTACATTTTGAAGAAATATTACCAGCAATACATTTTTGAAGAAAAAGTATTACCAGCAATACATTTTTGAAAAAAAATATTACCAATAATACCATTTTGGAAAAATTTTTTTACCAGCAATACATTTTTAGAAAAAAAAAAAAAATTACCAGCTATACATTTCGTGGAAAAAATATTTCTGGCAATAAAAATTTTGTTGGCATTAAATAACCAATTGAGGTTAATATGCCATAAAACAAACCAAACCAAACCTACCTGCTCTTATATATATGATTCTGTCAATAAAAATATTAATTGTAAGAAATCCTCTTAAAAGCCAAAATATGATAGATACTTTTCCCCCTTTTGTCATACAATTACTCAATTTTTATTCTATAAAATTTATATTCATCATCAAATAATGCTGATCAGCTTGGGTTTGACCAACCTGGTCCACTGCTGATATCTTAATTACCATTACTCACAGAATCAGTGAGACATTAGACAGTAAATAAATCTCAATTATATAATTCAAAAGGCCTTTGACAAAGTGTGGCATAATGGATTATTGTACAAACTCTCTAGTTATGGAATCACTGGAAGTGTCTTCTCAATTATAAAGTCCTTCCTCATGGTTAGGTCCCTGAAGGTAGTTGTTAATAGTTCTCTAAAGCCCTAGCAATCAATGCAGACATTCCCCAACTCTCTTTCTACTTTACATAAATGGTATGAGTATATGCTGACCACTTGTGAATATCTATGCTGATGATACAATGGTATATGGATGAACCTCCAAAACTCTAGATGACCAGTGCTTGGCAGCTGATCTCTTCTCTGACCTAGCTCTAACAGTTCTCTGTACTGCTCCAGTAAGTACCTGACTCCTCCTGCTATCTTCTACCTTTACAAGAGCTAGATCAGGAGTACTGCTGCCATATGTGGACAGGAGCAGCCTAGTCTTCAGTTTACAGTCTCAATAGAATCCAAAAGCATTTTTGCATCCTTGTGGGCAATAAATTACTTTCCATTCTGCAACTTCTTTCTCCCAGCCAAAATGTCACAAGCCTCTTACTGATCTATTGCAGTTTTCCTGAAAAGTGTTCAGACAAACTACATCCCTTAGTTCTTACCTTCATGGCTAAAGCCCACCATGCCACACACATTGTAGAAAACCACCCTCATTCCCTTCATATTTCATTGTTGAGATATATGTTCCCTTTGGACAGCTTCTCCCCACAAACAGCTGCTCTGTGGAACTGACTCCTAAGAGAATGTTTTCCTATCACTTCAATCTAAACCTGTTCAAATCTAGGGTTAACTATTATCTCGCCTACATATTCCCATAAATTGTGCCCCTTACTTTGTGACCCTCTACCTCGAGTGGCTCCCTGGCTTTGTCAGTGTAAAAAAAAAAAAAGAAAAAAGAAGAGATATTCGTTTTCTGGTTATGTCAGCCAATGAGCATTAATATATGTTAGAGAAATTATTTTTTTTAATTTTGCAATAGTAATTTTCTTTGAAAATGATCAATTTGTTCATTCTGACCCAATAAAAATGGCTTCATAGCCCAATTATAAACAAAGGAATTAACTACAAATATGCTTTATTTGTTTCAGTTTTTTCTTGATTTAGCTCATATGAATAAAGACAGTTAACAGATGATTTAATAAAAATTTACTGTTGTTTTTAAGTAATCTTTGGTACAAAGCAACAAATAATGAACTCTATGAAGAATTAGATTCATTATCAATGCATAGGGAAATCTGTCCAAGTCACACAATCTTTTTCTATTTATAAACGATTACTTTTCATTTCAAAATGAATCAAGTGTTGAAATAAAAGCCTGTTATACTTATATCAATCTAAAAGTCACATTTCAATCAATTTTCAAAGAAAATGTCTGTCAGAAAGAGAGAAAAGAAAAAATGAAAAAAGAAAGAAATGATGCAAAAAAAAAGTGGAGCTTACTCTTTTTTGATGCATGAAAAACAAATGTAAGCCTTGATTGCTGTGTCATAAGTGCTGCATGATTTGCAAACATACGCTCTGCATTTGATACATATTTGCCTTCGGTTGAAAATATAACCAAAGGCTCGACAACAGCACCAACAGAAATTTTCATTGAAGTCTTTCCTCTGAGTTAGTAAATTTTTCTGTCTTTCTTCATGTTTCACATCTTCTTCAATTTTTCTGGAAAGAAACATACAAAAATATTCATTGTTAGACAAAACAAACTGAAACAATGAATTAGCAAATCAATTAAAAATGAAACAATTGCATTTGATGTCATATAAATCATCCCTATTTATCTCCATTCAATATTACAGTGTTATGGGGATAGGTTGCTACAAGTAATGATAGTCTATGGTCTCTGGTTAAATATTAGTCTACCAGATACTTTATTTATTCTTATAAGATATGGGAGATATTTTTCTGAGTCATCTTTTGGAAAAAATAGGGAGTCTTATATTCCATCAAAATAAGGTGCATAGCTTATGTAAAACAACATTTTTTGGTTTTTAAGAACTGTCTCTATGAATTAAAAATATATCATAAGGATTTTGTAAAATAAAATAAATTTAATAGATACAAAAGAGAAAATCTGTACAGTAGAAGAAACCAAAATGATTATCTAAGCAACTTAAGTGTATATTTTCACACCATTTGGAAACTGGAGATTAAAAAAAAAACAACTTATAACAGATAAAGCCCCTTGTATCCAATATCAATCAAGGCTTTTATAAAACTTTAACATAAAAACCAGAAACTAAATTTTAGGTTTCATATTAGCAATAAACAAAAGTTAAGGAATGACGTTTCCTTATGATTCTCTATTGTTTGATTAATGCTGATATCTTAATATTCAGTCTTGTGACTTGAATTCAGACTGAGGAGATGAAAAGGAAAAATGTATGAAGCAATTTCTAAAGATTGCAGCATACAACAAACATTTAAGGAACAATAAAGAATATATAAGTTGAGATAATATCTGAAAAATAAGAAAGACAGAAGACATATATTTAAAATATGTGTAAAAAATATTTTGTACAAGTTACATAATTTTTATAATATTTATTACGAGAACGAGATATGCTACCATGAATATTGTGTTATTCTTGTCAAGAAATGAATAAAGAATTCAAGAAAAGCACAAATATTTTAAGATAATTTGCTATAATTCTGTCAACAGTTGAATAATCTAAAAGACTGAAAAATCTATTTTTTTGATTGTTTCTGGAATTTTTTCCATTTTCGAGAATTCTGTTTGAGGAAATGAAGATAAAACAGAAAATTCAAAGCACAAATATATTGTAATGATAATGGTAATATTAACTGTAATGTTAATACCAATGATAATATTAGCTGTAATGGTAATGCCAATGGTAATATTAACTGTAATAGTAATGCCAATGGTAATTTTAGCAGTTTTTTATAAGGAAATATTTGGCATTCATTGATTGAACAGCCAGTGCTGCTGTCTGTAAAAATTTGTAGAATATTTCTCTTAAAATAATTCTTCAGGAAAATAGGTTTCTTAAGTCCACTAACAATTATTGCTCTTTCCAGTATTGATGGGGGTTTCCTTCCTAACCTATTGTTTGAAGTAGTATGAACCATCAACATCATGATTATGTCATTATTTTCTCATTGAGATACGTTTGATAGCCATTTTTTTTCTGTTCGAATTACATATGATATCCAATTTCACTGTTGCTGCTTTGAAAGTTATGTGGCTTCTGTTACTTGATACAGTTCTTTCTTTGTGATTCTGTAGATCCAGTCCACAAAGTAGTGGTCCTTACTAACACCTACAGACTTATTCAAAGCCATTTTTAATCATTGATCTGAGAAAGCAGGGTTTTATACAGCTGACAATTTAGATATTTCTAAATGGGTTTGGGGCCATCCATGGCATCCATATAAAAGTCTTGATTTGATGAGACTAGGATTTGAGAAATATAACTAAATGTTAAAACAATGTTCAGTATAAAGAATAGAAATAAAAATCTTATTACTACTGAGGTTATCTCTTCTTATCAGCAATGTGGCATGCAAAAGTAAAAATAGAAATAATGCATATTCTCTCTTCTACTTTCTCCCCCTTTTTGATCCTTTTTCTAAAAGGTTTTGCTTATGCCACTTCTCAGGAACTATAGCAGAAAATTTGTTATTTTATTGAAAATTGATTGCTTTAAAAGCAAAAAGATTTCCTATATTGAACACTGAACCATTGATATTTTATGATTTTGTTAGCCTGTGAATATAAACTAATTTAAATTTTAACTCAATTATTTATTGGTCATATTTTCTGATCCAGACAACAGTCATACTTGTAACTGCTAAATAAATTTATTTTTCTGTTCTCACACACACACACACACACACACACACACACACACACACACACACACAGACAGAGAGGGCGCGATGGATAAATTGTCGTTTAAATTATGTAAAAATAAAAATAATAACTGCAGACCAACATACAGTATTTACTACTGTATTTCTGTAAAATAGGACATTATTGTCTGTAGGTATGCTACAACCCTTATATATATATATATGAGGACAAGAGAGAAAAAAATTATATATATATATATATATATATATATATATATATATATATATAGTGGTGGACTCTTTCATAATGGATGACAAATGAGGGCTCAGTAAAATAAATAGATGCTCAACTTTTAAAGACACGCATATGTCTCCTGAGGCCTGCAGATATTTTTGCAAATTTTTACATAGTTGACACATGTGTTTGAGCCATTTGCTCTAGTTGTTGAGGATCAGTTGTCACATGTTTCTGTGAGTGGACAGCAAGTGGACTTGTGCATAGTATCTAAAAGAGGAAGTACATATATATATATATATATATATATATATATATATATATATAATATAGATAACTATACTCGTTTCGAAAAACCCTCAAATTTTTGATTTACCAATAATCAAATCAACCTCGAGGGAAAAAAAGGTTTTAAAAAAAAAGGAAGAGATAGAAACATGAAAGTCTGTCGAAAAAAATCACACAGATACAGGTTTGAACACCAAAGAAAAAACCCGATACGAGTAAACAACTAACTAACAAAAGACCTCAATACAACCGTAGAGCAGACCTAGATAAACCTAGTGAGCCAGACAAACCTACGCAGGTTTCACCTAAACGGATTGTCAGGGAAAGCCGGCTCTCCCTGACGATCCGTTTAGGTGAAACCTAGGCAGGTTTGTCTGACTCACTAGGTTTATCTATCTATCTATATATATATATATATCAGAAACAATAAGAAAATCTCTTATGCCAGCACATTTTGTTCCTTGTGCAACTTATGAAGACAAGTAGAAATGGATTTGCATAAAATTCTTTTCTAATTTCTTTTCTTATATATATATATTGTCTTCACACAAATAATTATATCTGGATATAAAGCCTGAAATTGACTGCCACTGCTTGGTGTTGACATCAGTGTCCACTTTTAATAAGCTTTATCTGTGATATTGAGCACTTTTACCACAATATAGCATAACTTAAAACTATATTTCTATCATTTTATATATATATATATATATATATATATATATATGGCTGTGTAAGTACCACATAGGTTATCTGTGTTGAAATTGTAAATGGCAAACTAAGATCAAATTCCCACCTCGTATGTTATTTTCACTTTTGTACAATTACCTTTGGGAAGGCCATGAATCAACACACTTTAATTATATATATATATATATATATATATATATATATATATATAAAAAGTGGATAGTGAAATCAACAACCAGATGTGAGAGTTTGTTTCATGCAAACCACAATAGTTAGGCCATGCTAAACGCAATTGTCAGGTACATAGCCTGACAATTAGCATTGTTAGATCTTGGTGTTGACTGTACACTTTTATATTTACATATTCTCTATCGCTGATATTGACCACTTTAACCCTATCTTCATACAATTTTTTTCATATATATTTATATATATGTGAAGCTGTTCATGTACTGCATGGTTGTTGTGACTAGTCTGTTGTTTTCACTTTTGCACAAATACCTTTGGGTATGGTGTGAATCAGTTTCCTTCTGTTATGAGTTAAATAGCAGAATAAACTATGTTCTCTGGCCTTGGATGGCAGCCAGTTTAGGAGAAGTAAAACTCTAAATTTAAAACTGTTAAAAAACAATGGGAAAACTACTTCACTATCTTTTCCATTCATAAGAATTGACACATAAGAAAGAAAAAGTAAAGAAATTTTGAAAACTTCAATTTGGCATGTTTCTCCAATGAACAAGGATCATCTGAAAAAGAATTTTATTTTACAAATCTACATAACTGAGGCAAAACGTTAACCAGCTGAATGCTTGATTTCTTACTTCAACTAATTTCAGCTTGGTTTTTATTTTACTTATTTTTCTTCCAATAATACATTTGGCAAAACATTCCAAAATTTAAAGAAAATATATACAGACATGAAAAGGACTTATAATTAAACAAAACACCAATGCACTTGCAGGGTACTAGAACCTATTTTAATCTGGAAAATGCTGTTTTTATAAAGGTTGAATCTACTATGATCTACTTATGATCTATAAGTCTTCTACAATTAATATACAACTGGACTGTTTTAGTTTATTGCCACTTTTGACTAAATTAATACTGACACAATTTGGGATATTATTCTACATAACATGTGTGAAACCACATACAATACCCTTCCCTCATCAACTGCCAACCAGAGGAGGTGACACTGTTTTGGTGGCTGCAGCTTTTGCCACCAGACAGGGTATTGTTTTTCATTGTAAATCAAATTTTCCACAATAAAAGTTAAACATGTGTTTCACGTTTGAAGTAGCATTGTGTTGCAAGCCTGGTTTAATTAAATTTTCAATTTTGAATCTTGACAATATCCAACTCAGTGCCTGTTAAGCTGTGGTCTGGATGCAATGTGAAGCACTCTTCAGACACCGGCCAGTGATGCACACCTTCAGATTGAAGGAAACAATTGACTGTCCAAGGAATCCATGGCACCTAACCTCAAGAGGTAGCACAAGGTATGTCCACTCCTTTTCCATGCATCACAGTGATTCATAGCTGTTTTTCTTTCACTTGTGTGCCTCCTCCCAGTTCTCCTCCTATGGAACAATTAATTCTACTAGGAGGACACACTTCTTTGAATTAGACCACACTA